AGAGGACAATATCATCAATTATCCCTATTTGACATCATCCAATAAGACACAATTGCATAGTCAACGGATCTCTCACTTCACTGAAGGTGAGATACTTTCCTCACAAGTGATGTGAATATCGACTTCGCACTATCACCCATTAACCATCGCAGCCTACCATCCCACTGATAACAATATTCTACCTGCCACAGACTTGCCCGGTAGGAGCGCTCATTTGTACCGGTCCCGAACTTCATTAGCTGGTCTTACTGTTAGCACTAAAAAGCGCATTTCGGAGATGGACTTCAAAAGCGTGAGGGTAGAACCCCTCACTTGGTATTTTATTTCTAGTTCTGGTTGAGTCGTTAAAATGAGTGTGACGCTCATATAACAATTTATTTGAATACTCAGTGACCCAACTTCAAAATGATGGAACGATCCAAAAACTTTAATGACGACCCTCTTATACTAGCTCTTCCGTTTTTCCAGAGCAAAGCATCTTTGTTTTGAAAATTCTGTGTGGATGTATGGCTTAAAGGCAAAGGTCGGGCTCAGGCACGCTAGAGAAGTAATTCCCGTGCCTGGAGGTTGTATGTGGGTAGCTGCACACATTGCAGCAACTTCCCACCTTGAAAAACCCCGTTAAGGCCCCGGGGCGTTCGGTTTCAATCCAGGGCCGCCTGGTCAATCCAGGACCGCCCACCTCCGGAAGTGGTGCGTGGCTGGCATAACGTGTGAAATCAGCTAGGTTGATTGCCGTATCAACCGATAGAACGACTGACATCTCCAGAAAACTTGTTTGTACGTGCCTCTTTCCCCAAGCCAGCCTCCTTCACTGCTAGTGGGAAAGAGGGTTTTGTTAACGGCCTTGTCGACGGTTTTTCTCAGTTTTTTCTCCACTGTCGTTCCACTTCGCATCTCTATACTCAGTTTCAATCGCCATAATACCCCCTTATTGAGCCCGACTTTTGCCTTTAAGCATCTCACCTACACGCTATTACCACAGTCACACTTATTAGCAACCCAGCTGGTTACAGCATCCACGTGGTCATGTATAACTCGTTTGCTAAGGCGCGTTTGTGAGCTGCAAGGATATTTCATATTTGAGAGATTTGCCATTCTTTTAGCCCAGCGACATCAGCTTGTCGCTCAGTTTGCTATAAGAATGTGATACTGTGTGTGTGTTGAATATATGTGTAGACCTGTAAAGGAAGTACTTAGGAGGTCTAAATATGTGTTGGAGAACAGGTGGGGAATGAAGAGGTATGCCAGCCCTTTTCGGCGTTCTTGGCGCCGGTATGCGAATGTTGGCGAAGGGGATGGGGTCCCCAATCGGGTCGACACGGTTGTTTACTTTAATCCTCAGTTGGTACGGTATAGGTAGAGTGTACTGTACATTGTGAGTGCAGTGTCCACTTCCACCAGCTCCGTTGTGTTGGTTTGCTCAGCCGCCAGGACTAAGGCCTTGGAGGTGTGACGGACCCGTCCTTACTCTTGTGCAAGGCGTAGTCTGACGGTGAGCACCATTTAAGGACTGAGTTTGAAGTGGGGTCCGGGTCCACCGTCGGCTCCATCCTGGCCTCCCAATATTCGCATAGGTCTGCCAAGCCGAAGCGCAAAAGGGGCTGGTGGGCTTGACGTCGGAAAGGAAGGCACTGGCGAACTGGTTAAAAGACGGGCTGTGTGGTGGTGCTGCAGAACGCAAATTAGTGTGTTTTCACTAATTGGGCAAAAGTTGCTAAATGCCGCCCTCAAACCATCACAGGCTTTGTGGCGCTGAAAGCTGAGCACTGATTGGCCTGTGAACCTGCATCCACCAGAAAGACATTGCGCTATTGGGGCTGCCAAGGTCAGCGGCGAAACATGTATATATATTCAAAAAATCGCATCGCCGTATGTTACTGTGTTTGTCATACTCTGTGTCACAGACTTACGTAAAGTGAATTTGTAGCAGAACATGTTATATCTCCAGCGAATAAATAACGTTGAATTGGGCATCATCGCCTGAGAAATTGTGGAATCAAGTGCTCTGAGGCCATAATATGTGCCAGAAGCCAGCATGACAAATTATAAGATTCAGCTATTCTAAAAATTGCTGAAATTTATTGAAAGTCAAAGTTGATCCAAAACTTAGTCCCTTGGATTCTTGGAGGGCCATTTCCTTGAAAACGCGGGTGTTTTTTTCAGGTTTCAATAGTCGTAACTTCCTTCTAGACCTATTTTGTGTAAAACTTTGAGCGTATTAGAAAACTAAGAGTATGCGCTATCGAAAATCCAGCCAAGGTTTGTGGAAGTCCGATCCTCCGAAAAATATTTTTTTTTCAAGAAGTCCACCCTTTATACTACTGCAAACCACTTCGTTCGGTTCCCTTTGGAAGTATCGGAATCCTTCTAAGACAGATTTTGTAACTAAGAAGTCAGATTTAAAGCGCCTTGCAGTAACAACCCCTGGCATGGCGTGTGCTGCGTTTGCGCCATGCTTCTACTTCGCCCATGCATTTCAAAGTCGATATCGATTTCCCCTGCTGATCACCGCGGTTACGACCCTCCACCTCGTGAACCAAATGCGATACTCCTCGTTTGTACTTGTATCAACAGACGGTTACCCCTTGGAAAACAGATACCTTCAGCTTTTCTGCGCATGTGGCAAGAACGAGAATTTTGATTGCACAGAAAGCTGTAATTTGAGGGAAATCGTGGGCAGTACAGCAAAAGTTGACCAGTCAAACAAAACAACGTCGAGAATTTTCATATTCTCAGTAATACCTCATGATATACTGTGATGTGAAATCTCGATCATGGAAACATGAAAATTAATTAAATATTTAACAATCAAATACCCTAATTAACCGTTGCAAGAGAGAAAATGATCACAAGATTACCCAACAGGGCTCTTAAGCAGACACTAGCATCGTTTCATAGCTCCATGTGAGGCGGTGCCTCTTGGTCAGGATCTGTGCATGCAGCTGGCGTCCGGAATACGAAACGATATTCGCATTTTGCCGGCTCCGTGGCCTCGATTAATTCTGACGTTTCGCCACATTGTATCACCACCTGGAGTATGTAGAAGAATGTGCTGAGGAAGCATGAATTTGTTTAGTATTAGCTCAGACCTCAGTAGATCGTTGAGGACCATTCCAACATTGTTGACCACCGGTGTAAGATTGCTTGGAATATTTGTTCTGGGCCTCGCCCGACCATTCCTTCCAGTCACTGAATTCATTCCACATAAATACCAAGAACGATAAGTGTTAAACTAATAAAATACAATTCTTGATGATGTTCATTTCGATAAGTTAACATTTCTCGATTTCATTCAAGGTATGCGAATGTTCTGACACTTGTACAGACACTTACTGCGCGTCACATTTCCTATCGAAACGTCAACACCTTCGAGAGGACTCGCAAATGGTTTGCTGATCAGCTATTTCACCTCGCATCTCTTCCCGAATGGTGTTTGCGCAATGGCAGGTGCCGCCGCATATCACGATCATTGAGGCGATGTCACATAGCATAGCGTATCGAACCTCCCTCAGGCCTAAAGAGGCCTGCCTGGGCCGGATTGGAACTTCACTTGTCGACGATGAAGGAAAATTTCAATCTGAACATCGCTGAACCCAGCAAATAATGTATGCATACGCAGAACCATGCAAAACGCCAATGATGAATGCATGACGATAATATGAGGGGCGCGTTTCAAAACGTGTGAATCATTTTGAATTGTTTTCGTTTTTTGACTGCTCTTTGTGACTGCGGTTCGATTTGGAAAGTTTCACAAGCACAGTGGGTTATAAACAAACTTTTCGCCTCAGGCGGACGTCATAACCCAGAAGCTTTGAAATTTCACAAAGCGAACTGTGGCTAAAAACAGCAGTTAAAACAAAAGCAAGTCAATCAGTTGCTAAGGCTTTCAGCCTCGCAGTTCATTGTCGATATTAGCTATGTACTTCATACTATTATTATTACCATGTGAGTGTGACAACACGACGACTACGGTGAGTACACAATAAGCGACGTTGGGTGAACGGTGCCGGTGGGTAACTATGTGGGCACAATTATGGCTCGGTTAGTGGGAAGTGTGAGTTCAAGTTCCGCCTGGGGTGAAAGTTTTCTAGTTCGAATTACCACTGTTCTTCTGAAGTAAGCAGGATCAGATATCAATGTGTTATCCACCACAGCTCTCCTTCTATTGGCTTTTTGAAAGAGGTACTGTTGAGTGCTGCTTTGGCAAGTTTGTTTATGACCTAGCCTTTGCAATTTGGCCTGCAACTCGTACGTAGACCAGGAGAGCCTCGACTCGCTGGAGTTGTTGAGCGTATAGTATTAGGTGGGTAATTTGAAATTCGCCTCCTTTTGTGTATTATTTTATTTCAGTTAAAACCACTCTGCTAAATGGAGAGCGAGTATTGGAAAGCGATTTTGAGCGTGCATATGGGATATACTAGTATTAGTGAGCGAATGATTTTTCCGTTGCGAATTTTTTTGCTCGAAGATGATAGACAGAAGCACATGCATCGCGTAATATGGCGCGGAGAAACGGCCGACGAATCGCTCATGACGTGCAGTAGAGCGCAGTTACTCGGTGCCTTCAAACTATGGTTTCAGTCTTCAATATGAAGGTGAAAGGACTGAAGAAGAGATAGCTATGGATTTTGACCGTACTGTAGAAATCAAAGATTTAAGAAAGCCATATATTGGCAACTGTATGCGAAACTCTTAGGGAGATTAGGCCTGTGTAAAAATAAATTTGAGGTTTCTACGTGCGATGTAAAGACCTTTCCGGACAGAAATGGGTTTGACTATTATGAGCGACAGGAGCAAACAGCGTCTGGTTGCCATTCTGGCATTCTCTACATACTCGCAAGACTGAGGCTAGCTTTTTGTAGGGCAACTTACACGAAGGATGTTCCGATTAACAAGGGAGAAGATGGCCTCGATTGGGAGGCATAGTCAGCTGAGGGTGACTTCGTAACCGGCGTCCTATTGGAAAACCTCCTGCTCGTGCATAGTGAAACAGTGTAGGACTGGCCTACCATTTACAGCCGATTGTTGGTCGGACAGTACAGCCGAACTCTACGAAAAACAGCCAGCCCCGTGAACCGAGCTCTGCGTCGTCTAGGGGTAAATCCGGCCATTATAAAACTATGGCACGATAACGCGGACACATGTCGCAGAAAAGAATAACGCAACAAAATTGGGTGTTGATATAGAAACATTGCTACTCCACAGCAATAATAGCTAGTCTGGAAGACCGTTTTCTAACTATTATTGTGCAGTATGCGCGCTCGCACTCGGACATAAAATAAATATCATAACGCGTGAGACGTCGCAAATTTGAGTATAACTCTCGAGTCGTACGTTGATAAAGCTTCTCCAAGGTTGAGAGTCCATGTTTTAACGTAGCGCAAAAGTGACGATGAGTGACATACAATGGGAAAAATTTGAGTTTATGGCTTTGCTAGCAGCTTTTTTACAACTTAATTATCGTTGCGTTGAAACGAACTTTAACGTTACACTAAATAATTTTAAAAAAAAAAAGTAACGAAGGCTTACGCTTCCTTTCAACGTATTCACTTGTTGCTACGAAACAAGCTCATTTAGAATCAGATTTTTATTTACCCACGATTTCCATGCAAGCCCTGGAGTACGATTGATGCGATGTATGGAGGAAATTGTATAGGATCGTCTAGCTATCATGAGGCATTCTGATACCTCATGCTGCCTTGTACCAGATCCTCCTCTATTTGAGCAATGCCCTATTGTGCTCTGTTTGGAGTATATCCTTCTATATATAAAGCAGTAAGGATGTTTGTCTGTCTGTCTGTCTGTCTGTTTGTAACCACTAGGCTCGCACGCTAAGCAGACCTAATAAAACAGTTGGGGCATGGTCTGGGATGGGTAGGAAGTTGCCCTCAGGTCGTGTACGGTTGCCTAAAAGGATACGGTAGTGGGCGGGGCCGACCCGATGGGCGGGGCTTGCGCCAAAATTTCTGTTGGAAATATCGATTTCCGCGTAAAGGGCTCGAATGAGGTTGGAAATTGCAGTATAGATTGGGGGCTGTGGTAAAGGAAGAATTCCACCTGCCACGTGATATCGATCGATATCGATTGAAAATATCGGTTTTTGCGTAGAGGGCTCGAATGAAGTTGGGAATCACAGTATTGATTGGGTGCTGTCACGGAAAAAGAATTTTATAGGGTCACGTGCTATCGATCGATATCGATTGAAAATATCGGTTTTTGCGCAGAGGGCTCGAATGAGGTTGGGAATCACAGTATTGATTGGGTGCTGTCACGGAAAAAGAATTTTCATAGGGCCACCTATCGATCGATATCGATTGAAAATATCGATTTCCGCTTAAAGGGCTCAAATGAGGTTGGAAATTGCAGTATAGATTGGGAGCTGTGGTAAAGGAAGAATTCCACCCTGCCACGTGATATCGATCGATATCGATTGAAAATATCGGTTTTTGCGCAGAGGGCTCGAATGAGGTTGGGAATTACAGTATTGATTGGGTGCTGTCACGGAAAAAGAATTTTCATAGGGCCACCTCCTATCGATCGATATCGATTGAAAATATCGATTTCCGCTTAAAGGGCTCGAATGAGGTTGGAAATTGCAGTATAGATTGGGAGCTGTGGTAAAGGAAGAATTCCACCCTGCCACGTGATATCGATCGATATCGATTGAAAATATCGGTTTTTGTGCAGAGGGCTCAAATGAAGTTGGGAATTACAGTATTGATTGGGTGCTGTCACGGAAAAAGAATTTTCATAGGGCCACCTCCTATCGATCGATATCCTTCTATATATAAAGCAGTAAGGATGTTTGTCTGTCTGTCTGTCTGTCTGTCTGTTTGTAACCACTAGGCTCGCACGCTAAGCAAGACCTAATAAAACAGTTGGGGCATGGTCTAGGATGGGTAGGAAGTTGCAGTCAGGTCGTGTACGGTTGCCTAAAAGATACGGTAGTGGGCGGGGCCACCCGATGGGCGGGGCTTGCGCCAAAATTTGAGTTGGTAATATCGATTTCCGCGTAAAGGGCTCGAATGAGGTTGGAAATTGCAGTATAGATTGGGAGCTGTGGTAAAGGAAGAATTCCACCCTGCCACGTGATATCGATCGATATCGATTGAAAATATCGGTTTTTTGCGTAGAGGGCTCGAATGAAGTTGGGCAATCATCAGTATTGAATGGGTGTGTCACGGAAAAAGAATTTTATAGGGCCACTGCTATCGATCGATATCGATTGAAAATATCGGTTTTTGCGCAGGGGGCTCGAATGAGGTTGGGAATTACAGTATTGATTGGGTGCTGTCACGGAAAAAGAATTTTCATAGGGCCACCTCCTATCGATCGATATCGATTGAAAATATCGATTTCCGCTTAAAGGGCTCGAATGAGGTTGGAAATTGCAGTATAGATTGGGGGCTGTGGTAAAGGAAGTATTCCACCCTGCCACGTGATATCGATCGATATCGATTGAAAATATCGGTTTTTGCGCAGAGGGCTCGAATGAGGTTGGGAATCACAGTATTGATTGGGTGCTGTCACGGAAAAAGAATTTTCATAGGGCCACTGCTATCGATCGATATCGATTGAAAATATCGGTTTTTGCGCAGAGGGCTCGAATGAGGTTGGAAATTGCAGTATAGATTGGGGGCTGTGGTAAAGGTTGGTATTCCACCCGGTCACGTGCTATCGATCGATATCGATTGAAAATATCGGTTTTTGCGCAGAGGGCTCGAATGAGGTTGGGAATCACAGTATTGATTGGGTGCTGTCACGGAAAAAGAATTTTCATAGGGCCACCTGCTATCGATCGATATCCTTCTATAATATAAAGCAGTAAGGATGTTTGTCTGTCTGTTGTCTGTCTGTCTGTCTGTTTGTAACCACTAGGCTCGCACGCTAAGCAGACCTAATAAAACAGTTGGGGCATGGTCTAGGATGGGTAGGAAGTTGCAGTCAGGTCGTGTACGGTTGCCTAAAAGATACGGTAGTGGGCGGGGCATACCGATTATCCTTCTATATATAAAGCAGTAAGGATGTTTGTCTGTCTGTCTGTCTGTCTGTTTGTAACCACTAGGCTCGCACGCTAAGCAGACCTAATAAAACAGTTGGGGCATGGTCTAGGATGGGTAGGAAGTTGCAGTCAGGTCGTGTACGGTTGCCTAAAAGATACGGTAGTGGGCGGGGCCACCCGATGGGCGGGGCTTGCGCCAAAATTTGAGTTGGTAATATCGATTTCCGCGTAAAGGGCTCGAATGAGGTTGGAAATTGCAGTATAGATTGGGAGCTGTGGTAAAGGAATTCCACCCTGCCACGTGATATCGATCGATATCGATTGAAAATATCGGTTTTTGTGCAGAGGGCTCGAATGAAGTTGGGAATTACAGTATTGATTGGGTGCTGTCACGGAAAAAGAATTTTCATAGGGCCACCTCCTATCGATCGATATCGATTGAAAATATCGATTTCCGCTTAAAGGGCTCGAATGAGGTTGGAAATTGCAGTATAGATTGGGAGCTGTGGTAAAGGAAGTATTCCACCCTGCCACGTGATATCGATCGATATCGATTGAAAATATCGGTTTTTGCGCAGAGGGCTCGAATGAGGTTGGGAATCACAGTATTGATTGGGTGCTGTCACGGAAAAAGAATTTTTACAGGGCCACGTGCTATCGATCGATATCGATTGAAAATATCGGTTTTTGCGCAGAGGGCTCGAATGAGGTTGGGAATCACAGTATTGATTGGGTGCTGTCACGGAAAAAGAATTTTTATAGGGCCGTGCTATCGATCGATATCGATTGAAAATATCGGTTTTTGCGCAGAGGGCTCGAATGAGGTTGGAAATTGCAGTATAGATTGGGGGCTGTGGTAAAGGAGTTGGGTATTCCCGACTTCACTGGTATTGCTGATATCGATTTTTGAAACTATGTATTTGCGCGATGGCCAATGAGGATGGAATTCACAGTGTTGATTGTGTGCTCCAGTGAAAGTGCAAATTATACTCCGGGAGCATGCCGCCGAACGATATCGTTCGGAAACATCGGTTTTTGCACAGATGGCTCCAATGAGGAGGATGAAATTCACAGTGTTGATTGTGTGCTCCAGTGAAAGTGCACATTCATACCGGGAGCATGCCACCGATCGATATCGATCGAAAATATCGACTTTTGACCAGATCAGATCATAGAGAATGAGCGGGTCGACTTCTGCAGCTTCTAAACTGTTCCATGGAACGAAGAAGACAAGAACCCCCATTGCATTACCCTCCGAAAGCAAGTAAAATCCGAGCCCGCATGCAGCGAGCCCTTTTGGAGTTTGCCTGCTGGGAGTGTTGCATTAACCAGGCGGAGCTTTTATTTCAATAGACGGGGCATGCGAAGAATCAGGAAGGGCCAACAGCAAATATTAACGCACGGTCGCAGAGCAACCCAAAGACAAGAAGAAAGTGGGTAAAGGTGCGCACTAAGCTATCATGTCGAACCAGGGAGATTTGATAGTGGTGGGCGAAGCGTCCCCTCATAATAACTAAAAAAAGCCTACAGCAGAAAAATCGGTTAATACCCAAGCTTTTCAGCACATAAGAGCTTTAGAAAAGTCCCAGAGAGAGTGGAAAGAAGTGGATGGATGCTGAATAGGAAGGGGAGGTTCAATTTCGCGACGAGCGTGAAACTGTGAACCAAAGTGGGCTCCAAAGTTGCCACCCAGATAATCGTTCGGTTCTGAGAAGTCAGCTCGCCCGGGAGGTCCCAGAAAGAGGGAAAAAGTAGATAGAGTCCAGAGTAAGGAGGGAAATTGAATTTCGATGGCAAGCGTGGCGCGCACAGTGCGCGGAGTTTGCCAGGGAATTTCATAATTTTGGTCCCGCCGAGAGATCCAGAACCCGCTACATTACCCGATATCGGTGCGCTGAGGCGCTGGAAGTGGGCGAGTTCGCCGCGAAACATTAAAATCCGGAGAAGCCCCATAAGAGAAAGGCAAATGGATAAAAGCCAGAGATGGGGGTGGATAAAAGCCAGAGATGGGGGGGGGGAAAGCTTCATGTTGATGGTGGGTATGGCGCGTACTGAAGGGCGCGGAGTTTGCCAGGAAATTTTATAATTTGGTTCCGATAAGTCTCAGAAACCGGTAAAGAGGTAGTAGTATCCTAGCAAAGGAAGGGAGGGTACGGACCGCCGAAAGTGGGCGATTTTGCCTTCAATCTCCAAATCGGAGAGTTCCCATAAGGAGAGGAGAGCGGACAGAAGTAAGAGTGAGAGGGAAGGCTAAATGTTGATGTTGAGCGTAGTACCAAAGGCGAAGTTTTCTCAGAAACTTTATGATTTGTTTGTGAGAGGTTTCAAGTAGGTGAAGGAGTAGTTAGACTCCAGCAAGGAAGGAAACTCACCCGTTATCGGTGTGCGTAGAGGGGACCAAAATTGGGGCTTTCAACAGAAATTTCGTGATTTGTTTTTAAAACCAGTCGCATCGCCCGGCTACGCCGGGCTCTGCTCCTTTCTGGGGTCGGAATGCCCGGCTGGCGCCGGGCATTCCTCCCATCGGCACACGCCATATAGCGCACATCGGTTCAGATCACCTCCCCCCACCCCGGTTTGTGTTGGTTCTTTTTTTTTTACCGCGTACTCATCACCAAATTCATACCGTGCCACCTTCGTCAGTTCTTGGGGCGATGGACTCCTTTATTATTTGAGTATGTGAGTTTCCACAATTTAGGCATGTAGAGTTAAGCTTTCCACGACGTTATCTTGCCATCATTCCACATCCGTAGGAACTAATATTCGTTTCTAATGGGGAATGATGGCAAGATAACGTCGTGGAAAGCTTAACTCTACATGCCTAAATTGTGGAACTCACATACTCAAATAATAAAGGAGTCCATTGCCCCAAGAACTGACGAAGGTGGCACGGTATGAATTTGGTGATGAGTACGCGGTAAAAAAAGAACCAACACAAACCGGGGTGGGGGGGGAGGTGATCTGAACCGATGTGCGCTATATGGCGTGTGCCGATGGGAGGAATGCCCGGCGCCAGCCGGGCATTCCGACCCCAGGAAGGAGCAGAGCCCGGCGTAGCCGGGCGATGCGACTGGTAGTTCATAAATTCAATAGTGTCCGTAGTACCCACCCTAGACCAGTTTCGCCGTGACCATTCTTGTCCTTCTGCACTGTCTTTTCAAATGGGCAGTATTTGTACGTGTACTGCTTGTCATTCAATTCATAACACTGTCCTTTGA